AAGGGCCAGAGGTCCCTCGGATGCCTCTCGGAGCCTCTTGGGATATCGTTTGGGCGCTTCTTGGTGGCCTCTTGGGACGTGTTGGGGGTCTCTTGGCGGTCCTGGGGTGCTCTTGGGCGTCTTGCGTGCCTCGGGGGGGCCTCTTGGAGCGTCTGGGGCCTGGGGGGCATCTTGGGTGCTTCGGGGATCCTCTTGAAGCCTTTCGGGGGCCTCGGGGGGGCCTCGTGGAGACCTCTTGGGCGCCTCTTGGGGCCCCGAAGGGGAAGAAAGGGGGTTAGAAGAGGAACCTCCGTAGACCACTTACGCCCAGAGGGCTGGTGGGACTCCCGTTGCCCACTTTCGTTCCCAGAGGTTCAGGGTCCCTCTTCGGAGCCCTCGGAGGGTTTCTTCTGGCTTCACGAGGGGTCGACTACACAATTTCGGCAGCCGAGCGGCGCCAGCAGATCGAGAGTCGCGAGGCCGTGGGGAGGGCGAGGATGAGGATGGTGATGGGCTTCGTATCGCTCGGAGGTGCGCACTTTTCTCGGCGAGGCCACCGCCAGAAAATCTTGACCACCTTGGAGCATCTTGGGTCGTCGTGGGGAAACAACACACTCACGACGAAACCAAATGGTGCACGGGGAATGGACGTCCGAGCGATGGCAAGGACGACGACGTCGTCGACCCGACGACGACAAGCAGGAGGAGGACGAGCAGGAGGATGAGGAGGAGGATGAAGAGGAGGAGGCGGAGGACGACAACGACGACGACGACGAGGAGGAGGGCGACGACGACGGCGATGACGACGACAACGAGGACGGCGGCGATGACGGCGACGACGACGACGACGAGGGCGACGACGGCGACGGCGACGACGACGAGGACGACGACGAGGACGACGAGGGCGACGAGGACGACGAGATCGCCGCCGCCGCCGTCGCCGATGACGACGACGACGGCGGCGGCGACGACGACGACGACGACGACGAGGACGAACGAGGGCAGCGACGAGGACGACGACAACGACGACGATGAAGCGGGACCGTCGGATCCCCCCGTGTCCTCTCGAGGCGTTCCGGCCGTCGGCGCTGCTCGCCACCGCCGCCGTCCAGGAGCCCTGCAGCTTCCCCCGGGGCGGGTGGGCATGGCTGCGGCTGTTGGCGGGCCAGGGGCAGCGACAGAGGGGGGGATAGGCTCACCGGGGGCATGCATCGAGGTTCGCGGCTCGAGGTTGGAAGATTTTTGACGATTCGTCAGTTCTCGGCGGCCTTCCAGCAGCTGCGCCTCGCCGAGCCGGCCTCCGACGATTCGGGCACCCCAGGAACGCTCTCGACGAGGCGCAGCTGTTGGAAAAGACGTCCCGAAGCGAGACGACTACCAAGAGTAGACGTCAGGCGTGATCGCCGCGCCCGCCGCCGTGGTCGTGGTCGTGGTCGCGGTCGTGGTCGTGGTCGTGGTCGTGGTCGTGGTCGTGGTCGTGGTCGTGGTCGTGGTCGTGGTCGTGGTCGTGGTCGTGGTCGTGGTCGTGGTCGTGGTCGTGGTCGTGGTCGTGGTCGTGGTCGTGGTCGTGGTCGTGGTCGTCGTGGTCGTTGTCGTGGTCGTCGTCGTCGTCGTGGTGGTCGTCGTGATCGTCGTCGTCGTGGTGGTCGCCGTGGTCGTGGTCGCGGTCGTGGTCGTGGTCGTCGTCGCCGTCGTCGGCGTCGTCGTCGTCGTCGTGGTCGTCGTGGTCGTGGTCGTCGTCGTCGTCGTCGTGCTCGTCGTCGTCGGCGTCGTCGTCGTCGCCGCAGGCGGTGTGCGCTCCTCCCCCCCGTCGCCGCTGCAGGTGCGCCCGGCGCCCCGGCCAGTGCTGGCGGCGCCCCGCCCGGGCTTCTGGCGTGGCCCCAGCGGTGCCGCGCAGCCCGCGGCGGCGCGCGAGGCCACGGTCGGGGGCGCGCGCAACTGCCCTCAGATCCTGGCGTGACATGCTTTTCCCAACGGTCGGCGTCGTCGTCGTCGTCGTCGTCGTCGTCGTCGTCGTCGCCGCAGGCGTTGTGCGCCCCCTGGCCCCCGGACCCTCATAGATCGGTCGGGCCCGAAAAATGATGCGCAAAGATGGGGTCCGGGGCTCTGGTCATAAATTTTTGCGATGCTTCATTTTCTGTTCAACGTCGGATCTTAGGTTGGGTCGTCTGCGCGGACATTCGCGCGTAAGCTGCCCGCGTAAGGCCGCGCGTGAGCGCCACCGTTTCCCACGTAGCGTTCCGCATCAGCGGCCCGCGTAGGTTACCGCGTGTGGTCGCTGTGCTATCTCGCACAAGACCCGCTTCTGTTCGTCGCTCAACTCAGTATCGTTTCACCGACCCCTACCCCCATCCCCATCCCAGCCCGATCCAGACCCCCACCATCGCACCGCCCCCGTTGGAGACATATCCTTCGAAGCCTGGAGGAAACGGCCCATACCGCCATCTAGGGGGGTAAAGCGGCCCGTGGGGCTCATCCACGCCAGTGGGGATAGGGATAGGGATCGGTTAAGCGATGCCTATGGGCCCTTCGCCGCAGTGACCCTTGGCGAGGTTCTGCTGGGGTGCTCTGGTCGCCAGATGCGGCGCGGAAGCGGCGGCTTGCGCACTCTGGCTTGGCCCCCGCCCGCGCCCCCCCCCGAAGCCGCGCGCCCGAGGTTCGTCTTGCCCAGCGCCACTCTGGCGTGTGCGGGGCCCAGGGCCGGTGAAGCGATGCTCACCGGCTGTGCCAGGCAGCCGGGTGCACCCCCCCCTCTCGGGGGCCACATCGGCCCGCGGGGCCCGGGCCACGCCCACAGGGGGACAGAGAGGGGTCGATTCTGCCCTGACACATATCGTCCACAATCACATCTATTGACTTCTGAGCCAGGAGAGTGCGTTCGCCATCGTCGCCAGGCCAGGCGCTCACTGACGCTACAGGACCGCCTAGGAGCTCGGCTAAGAAGAGGGGTCGATTCAACGATGCTCACCGGCTGTGCCAGGAAGCCCCGTGCCCACTGCCGCGGCCGGGCCGGGCGGGAGCTCGGGGTGCGGCGCTCGGCCGGGCGTCCTGCCACCGCTCGGCCCCGCGCGCGGCCTCCAGGTGTGCCGCACGCGGGCCGGGCCACGATGGTGCGGGTTCCCGCCTCGTGGCGCCTTCGATCAGGGGAGGAAGAGGTACCCATACCGCCACCCTTCCCTTTTTCTTAGCCGAGCTCCTAGACGGTCCTCCGCCTGTAGCGTCAACTACCCTTCCCTCGTTTTCCCCTTTCTGAGCCTCCTGGGATGCCCTCGTCGCCAGCGCTGTGTTCGCTTTGGAATTCTGGTCAGAGCGCACCCCGGGAGAGGTCTGGGGAGTAGCGGTGTTGGTACCTTTTGGTTTCCCCATTTGGCGGCCTTCCAGGATGGCTGAAAGGAAACACCAGCGCCTCGGAGTTTCAGTTCCAGTCGAGGTTCTCGTCGGTTCTGAAAAGTTCATGGTGTCGTGGGCTTCGAAAAAGTGAGGACGAGGTGTGTGTGTGTGTGTGTGCGTGTGTGTGTGTGTGTGTGTGTGTGTGTATGTGTGTGTGTGTGTGTGTGTGTGTTTGTGTGTGTTTGTTTGGTCGATTTGGTGGCGACCTAGGCGGTGCGTACAGGGCGCCTAGCGTCTTTGCGTTGCTCGAGCGGTACCCTACCAACTTCTTTTGGTGGGCGCCTCTGTTGTGGCCTGTCTTCGGTCAGCGTCTGCGTGTCACCGGCGCTGGTCTTTTATGGTGGCGTTTGCTGCTCCCTCACCACCCATCTAACACTTCATTATTTTACGCCTTGCATCGGGCGTCACCGTTTCGCAGGTTGGAACTTACGTACCCATCAGTTTCGCCAGGTCGTAGCTTCTTCAGTACTGCTTTTCCTTCGGCTGGTCGGGCAGCTTTACAGGCTTCTGTCTTTTGTCTTCACTGTCTAACGTCGCACCTAAGATTTCGTGGCACCAATGCGCACCAGACGGCTGCTTGCGCTTCACATTACTCGTGTCGAGCTCATATTCTGTTTTTTTTGTGTGGGGGGGTCGCTGCATGTTGCTTTACAGCGCTGCTCGTTTTTCACCACCATACCGCTTTCTGTATGGCCATGGCCGGGCTGTTCGATCTTGGCGCGTTCGATTAAGCTTATTCGCAATTGGCACCTCCACCTGTCGACCGCGCCTGAGGTCCCTCTGCGCCGCCGACTCAAAAGTGTGTTTGTGCGTATATGTATGTGTGTGTGTGGGTGCGTGTGTGTGTGTGTGTGTGTGTGTGTGTGTGTGTGTGCGTGTTTTTTTTTGTGCGTATGCGGTTGTGTATATCATGGCTGAGGCCATGACATCTCCCAGAGTTCATGGCCACCTCATCCTTTCAACATATCCCTGCCCCCTGGGCCTTCGTCCGAGTATATGCCTCGGGCCATGGTGCGATGCGTAACCACCTATTGCTGACTCCTTCTTCGGCAAAGCCGATAACAGTTCTAGCGGGCTCTTCTTTAGCATTCTGGAGGGTCCATGGTGCACACTTCTGCCCAGACCTATGACGTCGTATTTCACAACATTCTGGCAGTGCATCCTTCGACTCGGCGGCTGGTGGCCGTTGTCGGGCCCCGGGACAATCAAACGATGATCCGTGGCGAGGGACTGCCCCCCCCTGGGGTCGGGATCTCTGGGTCCGCGGACTACAAGACTTACATCGCTGGATGTGTGGTCGTATTCTTACCTGCGCCGATCATGACCAGGCTCATCCTGGGCCCCGGATCGGTGTATCCGCCAGCTTGTTGGTGGCCGCGTAATGTCGGGGCGATCGATGGGGGGGCACTGAGGGCTGCAGAAAAGGGGCCTGTTCAGGGCCCTGAAAGGGGCCCTTCAGGGCCCCACAGGGGGTCTTTAAGGCCGAAATGGGCACCTTTCTCCCCCCCTCAAGTATCCCCCCCCGTCAATTAGTTCGCGCCAAAACTTGGCCAGGCTGGACGGGCGTACGAGCCGATGTTGGGCCCAGGATGAGCTTGGCCATGAGTGGACAGCGGGGTCCCCCCCCCCAGGCGGGCGAGCTGGCGGACGAGCTTGGCAGCGTCGACGCGGAGGCAGAGGCTCTCAGGGGAGAAAAACTTCAGCGATGCGGATACCCTGCGCTCGGTAGTGGTCGGCTGATTTGGCTCAGTATCGTTTAAGCAATCCCCATCCCCGCTGGGCCATGGTATCTCAGCCCCGCCATCCCACCACTCCAGTTCGGGATATGTCCTTCGAAACGTGAAGGGAACAGCTTATATCCTCATCTAGGGGGGCAATTTGGCCAGTGGGGCCCAGGCCACGCCAGTGGGGATAGGGATCAACTAAGCGATGCTTATTGGTCCTTCGCCGCAGTGACCCTTGGCGAGGTTCCGCTGGGGTGCTCCGATCGCCGAGTGCGGCGCGGAAGCGGCGGTTTGCTCGCTCTGGCCTGGCCCCCGCCCGCGCCCCCCCCGAAGCCGCGCGCCTCCAGAATTCCTGGCGCGTTCGGGGGATTTCGTGTAGATGTCGTCAGATTTCGTCAACGGGTGTTCTGCAAGTCGTGCCCCGACGCAGTCATCAACGACGCTGCCACGCTCTGGCGGAGCGGGAGTTCCAGGCGGCAGTGGCGAGGGTCCCGAGGGGCAGGTCCCCCAGGGAGTGCGAGTACGTCAAACAGGCACGACAGGGGGTGTGCGGTCTTGGGGGGCGGCGGGACACTGGCAGGAGTTCCCCGCCGAACTCCACGTCCAACTGGGGAACCCGCGCTTCTGGAACTACCGGTTCATGAAGAGCGCCGACGGTGCACCGCTGGCTGCATGCCCGCTTCGTGACTAAATGGAACAGAAGCCACCTGAACCAGCGGCAGATCAATTGGATCTTGGAGAGGGAGCGCGGCGAAACGACACTCCTCCAGTGTGCCTCTTGGCGACTGGCGCATCGCGTGCGGGTGCATCATCACGTTGGCCGAGTTTTGTATTGGAGAGGCCTTGCGGCCAGTGCCGCAGACCCTGAACAACGACGACGACGACGACGACGATGACGACGACGACGACGACGACGACGACGACGACGACGACGACGACGACGACGACGACGACGACGACGACGACGACGCTCTCGGAGTCTCGGGGGCCTCTTGGGGGTAGTTTCGGGGCCCGTTGGGAGGCTCTGGGGGGTCTCTTGGGAGCGTCGTGGGGGCCTTTTGGGGCTTCCTGGGAGTCTCTTGGGGGCCTCTTGGGGCCTTTTGGGGGGCTTCTTTGGGGCCTCTGGGGGCCTCCTGGGAGCCTCTCAGGCCGAGGGCTCGAAATGTCTGTTCGGGTCCTCCGTCTGGGCTCCCTCTTGGAGCCGTCGTGGGAACCTCTGGGGCTGTCTTGGAGGCCTCGTGGGCGGTCTTGGGATCCTCTTGGGTCGTTTTTGGGCCTTCATGTAGGCCTCGTAGGGGCTGTCCTGGAGCGCCGGGAAGCCGACGGGGCGAGAGCGCCCAAATCATTCAAGAAACAGAAAAAAGGATAGGTGATTTGCCGCCTTGGGGCCCTCTTGGGAGTGCTCTTGGAGGCCCCCTTGGGGCGTTCTGACAACCTCTTGAGCCGTCTGGGGTCAACATTGGCGTCGTGGACCGTTGGTTCGGCGATTCGGGGCCCTTGAGGACCGTCTTGGGGGCCTCTGGGCGCACTCTTGCCGCGCTTCGGGGGCCTGTTCCGGGCCCCGGAACCGCCCGGGGGGGGTGCGCAACTGTGGGGCGACCCACCCCTTGGGATTCGCCCTGCGGGATTCGCCCCCCTCGGCCCGCTCCTCCGCCCCCCCCCCCCCACACGGCGGGAAAGGTATCGCATGGAAGGGGCTCCCCTTCGACTCAGCTGCGACGTTGCTCGATGCTGCTCTGGCCGGGCTGGCGCGCGCGCGGAGGAGGATCGAGGGAAAGGAGGCGGGGGGCGACGGAGACGACGACTGACGGAGACGACGAGGAGACGACAGAAACGGAGACGACGACGGAGACGACGAGGAGACGACGGAGACGACGCGACGACGACGGCGGCAACCAACGGATGAGCATCTTCCACACGTCGACAGGGTCGGCGGACTTTGGCGCTGCCGTGGCCTCTCGCCGGGACATGTGCTGGCCGTGCATCTACCAAGACGTCATCTTCGCGCGCAAGAGAGCGCGCGGCATCCACGGCAGGACCAGATATAGCGCTCGCCAGTTCGGGCACTTCGAAACTGGCTCCTATGCGTTGCCACTGCCCGCCCGCAGGTGGTCATGAGACCCCGGCGGTCGGGCGTGCTTCTGGCGGTCGGACGTCCCGCAGGTGCTGATGGTGCCCTGGCGTTCGGGCGCGCCCCTGGCGGTCTGACGGTTTTTCCGCCTGGCGTTTCCGGCGGCGGCCGCTCCTTGGCCGCGGCTGTCTGCTCCTCTTGGAGCTCGGCGCGTGCCCTGCCCTCGCCGCGCCTGCCGCGCCTCTCCGAGCCTGCTGGGGGGCCCCCCGTCGCCGCGGCCGGCTCCCGCCGCCGCCGCCGCCGCCGCCGCCGCCGCCGCCGTCGTCGTCGTCGTCGTCGTCGTCGTCGTCGTCGTCGTCGTCGTCGTCGTCGTCGTCGCCGCTGCCGCCGCCGCCGCCGTCGTCGTCGTCGTCGTCTTCGTCGTTGTCGTCGTCGTCCCCTGGTTTCGGCTCCCGAAGGCGGTGGCCCTGAGGGGGCCGGTCGAGACGTGGGCCTGGGATGCGAGAGCTTGCTCGTGGGGAGACGGGTCGAGAGGCCCAGGGCCTACGGGCCGAGTGTCGGCGGCGAGCGAAGGGGGGGTTGAGAAGGAGGAGGCCTTCTCAGAAGGCGGCGGGGTTTCTCAGGAGGCCTCGGGAGGTTGTCCGTGTCTTCGGGGAAGGTCCTGAAAACTTGTCAGAAGGCCGGGGACTTCCGCGAGCCCTCCGAACGGGCCCGCCCTTCCGCCTCCCACCCCTGGGCTTGCCGCCGAGAAGGGGGGTGATCCATGGGATATTCCTGGGAGGGGCCTGCGAAAAACAGCTGCGGCTCCCCGGGTGTGAAGGTTCAGCGGAGGGGCCAGGCATGGCTAGACGTTGGTTCGGTGCTCCTGGCGGGGGTGCCGCGTCGCCGCGCTGGGGCCCCCCGCCCTGTCAGGCGCAGAAAAGCGTCGCCGGCGGCCCAGGGTGCGACCTCGAAGTGGCCGCGTCTCCGTCGCGCCGCGGCTTTGCCCCCTCCAAGTGCGCCTCGAGCTTGGAGCTGCTAGCGGCTTCTGCCCGCAATGCGCGCCCCTGGCTGCTCCTCGAGAGGCACTGGGGGCCCCGGGCCTTTCGAGGAGCGCGCTCAGACCAGGACTCGGTTTGGAGTCGGGGGGGTGTCAGAATCGCCCCGAACGGCCGCCATGGAGCCGAGTTATGGCCCGAATGCAAGGGTGCAGCGGAAGGGGGGGATAGGCTCAGGGGGGAACGCATTGACCCCCAATCGCCCATTGATCGCTAATATGAGGCCCGACAACCCACCCCCGCCCAGGAATATGCGGATCCACAATCGGGGGCTTATCGCCGATCTGCAGGCGATGTATCGCCGAATCCAAGTCGATGCTTCTCCCGCTCAGCTGGTCCCCCCCTGCCGCTGGCCCTCAGGCAAGCATGCCCACAATCAGGCCCGCAGGGAGGCCGAAACGGGTGGCTCAGACTCCATCGTGGTTCGGGGGTCCACCGTGTGGCCGCTCCCCGTGCGTCACCCCTGAAGAAACGGCATCAGGCGCGCAAAGGGCTAGATCTGCCATCTACTCGCTTTCGGCCCGTCCCGTCACCGTGCCTTCCCTCGGGGGCTTCCCTGGAGGAAGCTTGGGGGCCTCCGGCGCGCCGTCGTGGGGCTTCTTGCCGCTGGGGGCTGGTTTGTGGCCTGCTGGGGGGACCGATCTGCTATCCGCCGCTCCACGAGGGTCGCAGAACGGCAGGCCCGCAGAGAAGCCGCCCGGGCCCTCGGCCGCCTCGGCCCCGCTCGCAGGCACTGCCCCGCAGCGGGATGAGCCCGCCGCCGCGGGCGCCGCTGCTGCGGCCGCCAGTGGTGGTGCCGCCCCCGCGGATGCGCGGGCCGCCGAAGCCGCCCCTGTTGGAGGCCCCCGCTGGCGTCGTGGTCCCGCCCCGGGAACCCGCCGCCGCCGCGGAGACCGGTCCGCCCGGGGAGGGCGCGGAGGCCGCCGAGGACGGCGAGGGCGGCGCCGCAGAGGGCGCCGAGGCGGGCGCCGCCCAGGAGGCCCCTTTTCTTCCCTGCTCCTCCTCCTCCTCTTCCCCCTCCTCTTCCTCTCCTTCCTCCTCGTCCTCGTCGTCCTCCTCCTCCTCCTCCTCTTCTTCCGCCTCCTCCGCCCTCCTCCTCCTCCTCCTCCTCCTCCTCCTCCTCCTCCTCCTCCTCCTCTTCCTCCTCCTCCTCCTCCTCCCCTCCTCCTCCTCCTCCTCCTCCGCCTCCTCCTCCTCCTCCTCTCCTCCTTCTCCTCCTCCTCTCCTCCTCCTCCTTCTTCTCCCCTTCTCCTCCTCCTCCTCCTCCTCCTCTCCTCCTCCCTCCTCCTCCTCCTCCTCCTCCTGGGGCAGCCCCCGCGCTGACGGCAGACGTGGTGCTGCCTGCTGGCGTGCACGAGCCTGTGCCGCTGCTACCGCTGCTGCTACCTGTGGCAAGGGCTTCCGCTGCTGCCGCTGCTACCGTGTCGCCAGGACGCGTGATGGCTATACGCCTGCGGCGTGCAGCCCAGGAGGTGGCCACCGCGTATGGTGCGTGGGCCTTTTCCTTTTCTGCGCGAGGTGCGGAGTGCACTCGAGCGAAAACGCGCTCAGCTCCTCGCGCAGCCTTGCCTCGGGATTGTGCCCTCGCAGACGCGGCCCCGCCTGGGCCGCCTGTGGGAGGGCAAGCACCCGCGCACTGGTCTTCCTCTGCCCTTGGCCAGCGGCCAGGTTAGGCCTTGGCCGTTCGCGGACTTCGTCCTCGACAGCCTGGTCGGTGACCTGGTAGTCGTGGATGAGGCTGCGGACGGGTTGCAGGCCCCTGGCTGCGCCTGCTGGCACTCCCCTTTGGGGAGGTGCTCGGGCCTTTTTATCTCACGGTCGGGCTTGCGCCCGAGCCGCCTAGCTGTGCCTGCACGGCCGGCGCCGCGTCTGACGACACAACATTTCCTCCTCCTCCTCCTCCTCCTCCTCCTCTTCCTCCTCCTCCTCTCTCCCTCCTTCCCTCCCTCCCTCCCGCTCCCTCCCTCCTCCCTCCTCCCTCCGTCCTCCCTCCTCCCTCCCTCCATACCTCCCTCACTTTCTCCGTCCGTCCATCCCTTTCTCTCTCTCTCTCTCTCCCTGCCTCCCTCCAGCCTTCCCTTCTTCCTCCTCCTCCTCCTCCTCCTCCTCCTCCTCCTCCTCCTCCTCCTCCTCTCCTCCTCCTCCTCCTCCTCCTCCTCCTCCCTCTCCTCCTTCCTCCTTCTTCCCTCCTCCTCCTCCTCCTCCTCCTCCTCCTCCTCTCCCTTCTCTCTCTCTCTCTGTCTCCCTGCCTCCCTCCAGCCTTCCCTTCCCTTCCTCCTCCTCCTCCTCCTCCTCCTCCTCCTCCTCCTCCTCCTCCTTGCCCCTCTTCCTCCCTCCCGCAGCGCTGCGCGAGCGATCCCGCATCCACAGCCGCCCGCGATCGCGCGCGGAGCCGCGCGCGGACGGGGGCCACGGCATACTCGGGCGCCGCCGAGGGTAGTTTCCAGAGGGGGGGCAAGGGGGTGCGAGGGACCATGCGCATAACCATACCCAGACAAAGAGACGGACAAGGGAGGAGGGAGGGGATGGGATTGATCGGCGGGACCGCTCAAGGGATGCTGTAGCAGTTGTGGATGACGTATTTTCTGGTTGCGATGTGCATGGCGTATTTCTGGTTGCGATGTGCATGGCGTAAATCGTCGGTCGCGCAGTAGACGAATAGCGTAGTGGCTTCAGGGTTGGACAAAAGAAGTCGGTCTACCTGGTGTGGTCTTTCTTGAAGATCTCGGGCCGCGTGGGCGTTCCTCCCATGGGATTCGTGAGGTAGAAACTCTTCTGGTGGCCCTTGTAGCTCAGCTGGTGGCCCACATAGCTCTGCGGATGGTCTTCGTAGCCCAGCTGGTGGCTTCTGTAACTCATCTGGTGGCTCAGGTAGCTCAGCTGGTGGCCCACGTAGTTCAGCTGGTGGCCCCAGTAGCTCAGCAGGTGGCCCTTGTGGCTCTGGTGGTGGCTCTCGTAGCCCACATAGCTCAGCTGGTGCCCCGCGTAGCCCACGTAGCTCAGGTGGTTGCCCTGGTAGCTTAGCTGATGGCCTGAGCCAGTAGCCTCGCCCAGGCCGTGGCCCTCGTAGTTCAGCTGGTGGGCCTGCTAGCTCAGTTGGTGGTCCTCGTAGCCCTGCTTCCTCGTAGCTCGGCTTTGGTCTGGGTAGCTCTGGTCGTGGCCCTCGTGGAGGAGCTCGTGGCCTTCGTAGCCGAGCTGGTGGCTCTCGCAGTCCAGTCAGTGGCCCTCGCAGCCCTGCCGGTGGCTCTCGAGGCTCTGCCCGTGGCCGCCGTAGCTCTGCCTGTGGCCCGCGTAGTCCCGCTGGCGGTCCTCGTAACTGACCTGGTGGCCCTCGGAGCTCCGCCTGCTGCCCTGGAAACTCGGGATGCGGTCTTCGTAGGTCACCAGGTGGTCTTCGCAGACCCGCAGGTCGGAGGGCACCAACTATACACCAACACCGATCCTGGCCAGGATCGGTGTTGGTGTATAGTTGGTGCCTTCCTAGCAGGTGGCCCCCGTAGCTCGGGCCGCGGCCCGCGCAGCTCAGCCTGTGGCCCTCTGAGCCCGGCCTGTCGCCCCCGCCGTTCCGCAGGTGCGCGTCGCAGCTCTGCTGGCGGCGTGCCTAGGTCGGCGGGTGCCCCCGGTAGCTCAGCTAGTAGCCCTCATAGCCCCGAGTAGCGAAGAACGATCGAGAAGGCAAGAGTACCAGTGCCATGAACAGTTGTCGGGCACCACGCTGGTCTCGCCCAGGTGCACTCGCAGGTCGTGAAGCTCAGCACGTAGGTCATGGGGGTCAGCACGTGGAACGTGATGTTCCGCACGTAGATCGTGCAGTGCATCACGGGGATCGTGCGGTTCCGCACCTTCGTGGCTTTCATACACGTCGCTGTCGTCCTCGGTGTACGCCGAAAGTGCCGTGCTGGCCAAGGGTGTGTATCGCTGGTTGCCGAGCGTGTAGCCGTGGCCAGGGATCTTGGCCTCGATCTTCGTTCTCAGCTTCTCCGCGGTATGCCTCTTTTCTTCGTCGTTCTCTGCCTTGAGAGCCTGCTCGATGTCCTGGAGGGCTCATGGCAGCTGCCCTTCTTCTGGTATCGGGCTTCGGCTCGCCAGTTAAGAATCCTGGCGTCTTGGTTGCTACAGCGGAGGGCGCAGTTGCAGTTGGACTCTGCGGCGATTCACTTCTGTATCAGCAACTGCGTAAATGCCCGGCGCATGTACGATTTAGCCAGCATCGCCGTCGTGGTGCAATCCGAGCTGTTGGATGCATGATGCACGCCGTATACCCATGGAGTACCACGCGGCAGCTTCGTGGAAGGACTCCTGTTTTACGAGGGCGTCTCCCTGACGGGCCTCCTTCACGGCCTTCCTGACCACGTCTCTTTCCTTGCCTCCTCTGCTTGTGTAGCCTCCTCCTTTTCCTCTGTTTTCCTGAGCCCTCTACCTTCCAAGTCTCACTTGCATGCTTGGCCTCAATGGTGCTCCTACTCTCCTCCGCCTTCCAGGCCTCCTCTGTCTTCCTCTCCTCCTTCGCCTTATCCCGAAGATCGTGGGATACTGCATGTACTTTGTGACGTTCTGCACGGGGCGAGGGTGACTCGGCACGCATATCGCGAGGTACGGTGCGCAGATCGTGAGGTTTGGTGCGTGGATCGTGAGGCTGTGTCCCTGGATCGTGAGGTACTGCATGGTCTCTCGAATCGTGAGGCTGTGTGCGTGGATCGTGAGGATCCGTGAAAATCTGGCCCCGGGGGAAGTGGTCGAGACCTCTGGGGGTCGACGGGGGGCGGGACCATCGGCCCCCGATCGCCCACTCCCCTCCGACTGGGGCCTGGGTGCACCGACCTGCCCAGGAACGTGGGGGTTCCCCAACGCGAGCTTATCGCCGATCTATCGGCGATATATCGTCGATTCACGGTCAGTGTTACCTCTCCTGGGCCAGTCCCCCTTTCTGTCGGCTCCTCCCGAAAGGATGGGCTCAGGACTAGGGTCGGCCGCGAGCCTGGGGGGTAAGTGAGAAGGGGCGGGCGTTCTCAGAAGGCTCGGAAGGCCTCGAGTCTTCAGAGAAGTTTTCCGAGCTTTCCCCGAGCACATAGAAGACTTCTCAGAAGGCCGCAGGGCTTCTGAGAAGCCCCGCCGCCTTTTGAGAGGGCCTTCTCCCTCGCACTTCCCCCCCTCGGCGCGGCGCCGATAGGGGGTGGTGGATGTCATGCGGTCAACCCGCACAGTAAGGATGAGCGGGTTTCCACGGTTTCCCTTGCATCCCTCCCCTTCGGCCCATCTTTGGCCGCTTTCGCTGGCCGCGCCCCGCTCGCAAAGTGTCGGCATGGCCTTCCAAGGCCCTCGCATACCTATCGTGCGTCCTTCTTGTGCGGGTCGAGTGCAGCCGGGGCCCTGGACTCTCCCCCAGTGCCGTGCCCCGGGCGACGTCCGCGCGCACGCCTCGGGCCGTGATGCGCCGACCCTCCTCCTGGCCCCCTCTCTTCGGCTCACCCGCGAGGAGGAGGAGGAGGAGGAGGAGGAGGAGGAGGAGGAGGAGGAGGAGGAGGAGGAGGAGGAGGAGGAGGAGGGGGAGCTGGAGGAGGGGGAGGAGGACGAGGAGGAGGAGGAGGAGGAGACAGGATCCGTGCTCACCAGCAGCACTACTAGGAGTACCCAAAAGACTTGACCAGACGCACCGCCCAGCTCCAAATGGACTCGCAACCGTCCCTTCGACATCACCACGCCGCTTCGATCACCTCCGATTCCCAAACTGAATTTCCCGACACTCCGACCCGGGCACGCACCGTACCTGGACTAGATACTGATACGTCATCCATCGCATTTTGGAAGAACTCTGCAGGTACATCATGTCTACGACCTCACAGCGTCGACACTTGGAACTCCTAGTGCGCACTGACCATCAGGACTGGCTCATGAGAGGCAGTGTATCCTTTATCGCACCTTCTGCTCGCAGAGTGCTTGCACTCCTGTGGTTCCCTTTCCCTGTTCTCTACCACTTTTCTTCCATCTCCTAAGGCTGCACGGGTCTTGGCTCATGATAATGTGATAGGGAGAGGAGACGCTGAGACGGTATACTAGGGTAGTTGGAGGGAACGGTTACGCTATCTCGGGCCCTCCTGATCTGCAGAGAGCTGGCCTTATTATGCTGGCACGCGTTACCACCTAAGTTCTTTTGATCTCTTTCCCATGTCCTAAGGATGAGGTTCTTGTTATTTTCACCGCGCCCAGGACTTACACGCACCTCCTCATCCTCCTCACTACTCAGCGTCACGCAGAGTCACATTAAGCGGCGCTACCCAGGTTATGATATGATGATGCTGATGATGATGCTGCTGCTGCTGATGATGATGATGATGATTATGCTAATGATGCTGCTGATGATGGTGGTGGTGATGATGACGATGCTGATGGCGGTGATGATGCTGCTGATGATGATAAAGATGATGCGAATGATCATAACTATGCTGCTGCTGATGATGATTCCGTTGATTCCGATGATATCGATGGTGCTATTGATGATGCTAATGATGATGCTTATGACGATGAAGATATCGATGACGATGCCGATGCTGATGTTGCTGCTGCTGCTGCTGATGCTGATGATGATGCTGATGGTGATGCTGATGATGATGCTGATGATGCCGATGATGCTGATGCTGATGATGCTGATTGTAATGATGCTGCTGCTGCAGCTGATGATGCTGCTGATGATGCTGTTGATGATGATGATGATGATGATGGTGATGATGATGTTGATGCTGATGATGGTGATGATGCTGTTGATGCTGCTGCTGATGATGATGCTGATGATTCTGATGATCATGATGATGCTGATGATGATTCTGATGATGATGATTCGGATGATGGGTATGCTGGGGATGCAGGTGAGGATGAAGATGATGATGATGATGATGATGACGATGATGCTGAGGATGATGATGCCGATGACGCTGATGATGCTGATGCTGATACTGATGATGATGCTGATGATGATGCTGTTGATTATGATGATAGTGATGATGCTGATGCTGCTGCTGCTGATGATGCTGCTGCTGATGATGGTGATGATGGTGATGCTGATGCTGATGATGAATGTGACGATGACAATGACCGTGACGATAATGACGATGCTGATGATGCAGATGATGATGATGACGATGACGATGATGATGCTGCTGCTGATGATGCTGCTGATTCGAATGATGATGATGATGATGATGATGATGATGATGATGATGAGCTGATGATGATGTTGCTGCTGCTGATGATGATGCTGATGACGATGAAACTGATGCTGATTCGAATGATGATGATGATGCCGATGATGCTGATGCTGATGATGATGATGCTGTTGATGCTGATGATTATGATTATGATGCTGCTGATGATGATGAGGAGGAACAGGAGGATGATGATGCTGATGCTGCTGAGGATGATGATGATGATGATGGTGGTGGTGATGATGATGATGAGGATGATGATGCTGATGATGCTGCTGCTGGTGCTGCTTCTGGTGATGATGATGATGATGTTGATGATGTTGATGATGATGATGATGATGATGATGATGATGATGATGCTAATGCTGCTGCTGATGATGAGGCTGCTGCTGATGATGAGAATGATGATGCTGCTGTTGATGATGATGCTGATGATGATAATGATGATGATGGGGCTGATGATGATGAGGATGATTCTGATGCTGATGCTGATGATGATGATCATGATTATGATGATGCTGCTGATGCTGATGCTGATGATGCTGCTGCTGCGGCTGATGATGATGATGATGATGATGATGATGATGATGATGATGATGATGATGATGATGATGATGATGCTGCTGCTGCTGCTGATGCTGATGCTGATGCTGATGCTGATGCTGATGATGATGGGGGTGCGTGCACGGACATGATTAAGCGGGGAGTGGAGTGTCGTCGTTTCGGCAGTTGTAACAAGCAGCTTATCAATTCAGTTTCTGCTTCTCTCTGCTGCGTGCGTCCCTCTGCAGCCGTTCGAGGGCCAGGAGGGTATGTTCCATCCCCCACAGAACCTTCCCCTCTGGATAGTCCTGTGGATTGAGACCGTCCACTTGGCCCAGGAGTATCAGGGCCGCGATCGGTGGGACGAGCGCGAGGCCTGGCTTGCCTCAGCGCCACCACCGCCGCCTCCGCCCGAGGCACTTGCCGCGCCCGCGGGGCTGTTCGGCGTGGAGCAGAGCTGCCCGCTCGTGGAGCCGCTGGGGAGCCCGCGGCCCAAGGAGGAGCCGCCCGAGAGCCGCCTGAGCCTCGGCCCTTTCGGGTGGTGGGGTGACCAGGTAGCGGGGGCAAGCTGTGACAGCTGTACCAGGCACGGGGAGGAGCTCGCGATGGCCGCCCGCCTCGACACGATGGCGGCAGCCCTGGGCGAGCCGAGGTGCCCCGTCGCTGCGGAGCAGGGCTTCTGGCATAAAGGGGCTTTAGGCAGACGCATGAGGGTGTCGTACTCAGACGACGACGTCGACCACGGACGCTACTGGGTGTGGCCGTCTAAGCGAGTCGAGGACGGCATTTGCCAGCAGGAGAGCGTCTGGTGCGTGCTATCGCCCGGCGATGGCCAGTGGCGGGAACGACGTGACGGCATTGACCCTGAAGGTGGCCCGAGCGAGGCTGTCCCGATGCCGTGGGCTGGCTATCCGCACATCGCTGGACGACGGCTGTCCTGCTTTCGAGCGCGTCCGACGCTGGAGCGCCTGGAGCAGCTTGCGAAGGGGAGCCGTGGCATCGAATTCGCCCTGGGCCAGGAGCCGAGCAACTGGCCGCAGCCCGTGATGACGGAGACGGGGGAGGTGCAGGGCCTAGGCACGGTGATGGGCGTGTCAGCTCAGGAGCTCCCAGCGCTGGGGGACGTCGGCGCCGAGGACGAAGTGATCTGGATGCTGATGGAACCAGGCAGTGACAGGGCGCTCGGGTAGGAGGTGAAGATGTTAGGGAGCGACATCATGTTGGGAAGCCAGGGGTTGAAGATGTTCGGAACGGAGGTGTGTCGGGTAGCCCGCGTGAAGATCTCGGACGCGACTCGGTTTGTAGGAGAGCAGCTCACCCGTGTACGTCGTGCCCTGGGGACTGATGCCCCACCAGGGGAGCTGGCAGACGAGGATAGCGTCCAGAAGCACTTTGGGCTCGGAGATCGAGTTACGGAGGCCTCTGCGGGCTTGGGCGAGGCTCGCGGAGGAGACACCGTCGAGGACGTGAGAACGCTGGCGGTGGACTACGACGACCACGGCGAGAGGCACAAGGAGGGGGGCGTCGTCAGCGGGATCAGGGTCGAGTCGTATGCCAATGACCTGATCCAGGGCCCCATGTCGGTGGTCTACTTGGCTAAGGTGATGTACCGCAGCGGCGGAGGCCCCAGGCGATGGCTGGCCGAGTGGCCACGAGAACATCGAGTGGAGCGCCAGGACCGCATTTACCAGGAGCTGGGCAAGACGGGGCCGAGTAACTTGATGTCCCCTGAGCTGCGTAGCCTCGGAGCGGAGTTCCTGAACGCTCGCGTCGAGGGCCTCGCAGGGGCCGATCATGCTCTACACGATGGAGGAGGTAAGGGTGACGGAGATAAGCCTGGGCCTGAGGGCGCGAAGGGACCGAAGAACTCCCCCGACGCAGCCGCGGCGGGGGGGGGAATGATGGATGAAGCGGCCGCCGCTGGTGATAGCCCGACCAGCGGCGTCGACTATGCAGGGCTGCCTGGGCTACTTCCCCAGGCGGGTGCCCGCGACATCTTCCCGCTTCCGCTGCAGGAGGAGGTCGAGGGCGTCCTGGGGGCAGGACATCGAGGAGGGCGTGAACGCCGACGGCTTTTACATGGGAAAGTTTTGAATGGGGCCATCTCGAGCCTCAACTGGCTGGCAGGTGCGAGTGTGGGTTCCTCCACGCCACTCCTGTCGGACATGCAGCTGGACGTCGTCGAGCGCATCGATGGGCAGGTGTGCGACATCGTGCAGCCGATGCGAGGCGAGCAGCTGCAGCCGCCGTATTCAGCCCTACGGGAGTTGATGCGTGGGAGATCGCCATACCTGGGTGGTCCTCCCGAGGATCTGCTTGCCCCCTACCGACCTGGGCTTCCCTCGCTTCCCGACAGCATCAGTGAGGCACCTGAGCTTCATGAACTTCTACGGGGACGGGCGCGCCAGTTTGTGGAGGGGCAGGGCGAGCGCATGCTGCGCGACCTTGATGGCGTGAAGGAGATGTTGGTGCGGTGCCCGCGGGTTCCTTTCAGCGAGCCCTCGTTGGTGCGGAGCCGACGGAGGTATAGCGATTTTGTGAAGGACCTGGTGAAGCGCGGCCTGGTGTCCTTCAGCCGCACGGTCGTGGAGATGGTGGGTATATTCTTTGTGTGGAAGATAGGGAAGGAGAGATCGCGTATGATACTTGATTGCCGAAGAAGCAATGCCTGGCTGATCGATCTACCTTCGGTCCAACTCTTGACCGCGGAGGGGTTGTCAGCATTCGAGCTCGAGGAGGTGGGCGGAGCACGAGATCACCTGGGGGCCGCCCATCTTGCTGCCATGGAGGACGTGGAGTTCTCAGTGGGTGTGGCGGACGTGAAGGACGCTTTCCATCGCATGCGGCTGCCAGCCTGGATGAAGCGGCTGTTCGGCCTCCCCAGCCTCCGAGCCGGCGACGTCGGGATCCACGGGGGCCGGCTGGACGGCGAGGTGCTGAGCTTCGACGACCTGATCTACCCGATCCCTGAGGCGCTGCCGATGGGGTGCACGTGGAGCCTCTACTTGTGCCAGAGTGTGACGGAGCTTCGTTGCCAGTTTGCCCCCGCCATCGCAGGGAGTGCGCCCTGGAGCGACCTGGGGAAGCCGCTGGTGTTGAAGATCGTCTGCGGGACCGAGCAGGTGGAGCACTATGTGTACGTGGACATCATGGGCGTCCTGGGCCAGAACGGGGAGCGCGTCAGCAACAGCCTTGACGAGCTGGTACGGGCTTTTGAGGCAGTCGGCCTTAAGGTCCACAGGCGAGAGGTCCGCAGCGACGGGATCGAAGTGCTCGGGGTGGTGTTGGGCGGCCAGAGGCTGCAGACGCGCCCGTCGCTGAAGCGGGTCTGGAGGGTGCGGCAGGCGCTCGTGGGAGTGCTGCAGATGCGGGCGGTGCGCGGGCACGACCTCCGCGCGCTGCTGGGCCATTGCACCTATCTCGGGCTCGTTCGGCGGCCTGTGCTGTCAGTATTCCATACATGCTACCGCTTCGTCTCGAAAATGCAGAACGATTGTGCGCCTCTCTGGCGGAGTTGTCGAGAGGAGCTCGAGGCTTTCAAAGGCCTGCTGCCCATGATCGTGTCTGACTGGTGGCTCCCATGCAATAGGTGGGTTCAGTGTTCGGATGCCTCTGAGACTGGCTACGGGATATCTGGGAGCTACTGGGACCTCGAGTCTTTAAACGTCGTCGGGCGGTGTCGTGAGAGGAGGCGGTTCAGGACGGAAGAGGGTCAAGAGGCACGTCGATCAGCTCTTACAGCGGCGGGTCTTGGGGAGTTCTTGGAGGCGAATGTGGGGGAGGCGAAGCTGTGCGTTGACGAGGGCGAGAAGTGGTTGATCGAGACCACGTTGCCCGAAGGGGATTACGAGTTGGACCCCGATTTCTCAGAGGTGCCCAGTCGTCTCTTGGCACGCCCGTTGTGGCGTGATGTAGGAAAAGGGGTCTGGAGATACAGTGAGCATATAGGGATCCTCGAGGCTAGAGCACTCGTGCAGAGCTTAAAACGCATTGCTCTCACTCGGTTTGGCTTTGACGCTCGGCAGGTACTCCTTGTAGACAATCTTGGGGTGGCCCTGGCGTTTGACAGAAGTAGGTGCAAGAGTTTTACCATTTTGCGTCATATTCGTAGATTCTCGGCCTACCTCTTGGGGCGGAACCTTAGGGCGATTGTTCGATGGATCCCTAGTGAACTCAACAATAGTGATGAGGGGTCCCGAGCAGAGGGAGGACAACCCTCCAATATTCTCAAGCGGTTGATCCCTGTTTCCTTGCCTGCCTTTTCTCTTCCTCCTGTTCCCGAGTCCAAGGATGGAGGAGGCGCTGATGTGAGTTTCAGTTTGACACCCCCCCGTGTCTGTGCACGCACTTCAAACCCCGACAGCTGTTGGCGAGATGAACGAGCCTCCGAAGTGAATCCGGATAGGGACCTTTTTGTGTTAGATGGCAAGATCCCGCCAAATCTGAAGCACCTTTTTGCGCCAGTAAATCCTTCGCACACAGCTGCCAGCTGTTCTTGCGTAGACGTTTTGGCTCGAGATCGTTGTGATGCCCTCGGGCCCCGCCTCCAGGAGCTGCCTGCTCCCGAGGTCGCAGCCGCCCGCCGAGCGGCCGCAGGATCGGCGGGCGAATATCCTGACCCGCGAGGCGGCGAGGCCGCCTGCCTCAGCCGCGCTCCAGAACCATATCGGTGGCAAGCGGCCCGCCGAGGCGGCGAAAAGCCAGGCCACGCCGAGCCTGGAGGAAGCGGGCGCAGGCGTGAGCTGCGACACCCTGCAGGCACGCCACTGGAGAGCGGGGGCGGTCAGCCGTGCCGAGCTCGAGCGGCACTGCCAGCGAATCCGAGGCCGCCGCCGCTGCCAAGCGCCAGAGGACACTGGAGAAGCGGGTCCAGCGGCGGTATGCGGCAGTGTCACGGGCGATCGAGGACGGAGTGCCGATCAGACGCTACCTGGAGTCGAGCACGGTGACGCCGAAAGTACGAGCACCGTGTCACAGAGAGCTAGAGCAGATGAAAGACCGATGTGGCCGCCAGGACTTGTTCGAGATGATGTTAGAGACTCTGGAGGTATGTATAGTACGCTACCTCACGACTTTGTGTCTGGAAGGGGAGCAGGTGTCCACGGGCATGTGTGTGGCGGCGGCTGGGAACCATTTCTTCCCAACGGGTGGGAGATTGGGGGCCAGTGCGCTACCCCGTAGCCGCCCTGGGGATGGTGTCACGCCTGGGGGTGGCAGCCGCTTCTGGGGCCTGCTGATGCGCCCGCAGGAGAAAGCCCCCCCCCCCGACAAAGTGGGAGAGTTCGACCTGGGTGTGAAGCTGGACTCGGCGTGGTTGCTGTGGCCTGGACCAGTGCTGGAGGCGCCGCAGCGAGAGGACCTGCCGAATCCAGTGCGGCAGTTCGACTACCCGCAGCTGCTGCGAAGGCTGCGGTCCGCTTGCGACACCATGCAGCTGGGGCGGCTCACGCCCTACCAGGCCAGGCACTCGGTGGCAAGCATAGATCGCGCCAACAGCGAGCGGAGCCAGGCCGAGGTGCAGAGGCACGGAGGCTGGTGGCAGCTCAAGAGCATGGCGAGGTACGAGAAGAGTGCGCAGCTCGAACATCGCGCGCCGCAGCATTCGGCGGTGATGGTGGCGTACGGGGAGCAGTGCCTGCGCGAGCTGGAGCCCGCCTTGCCGTGGGGCCGTGCGGCGCCGCTGCCAGGCGGCATCCAGCCCTTGCTCAGGGCTCGAAGGTGCTCCTCGTTGGGGACGAGCTGACGAGCGCCGGGCAACAGCTCGCTTCCCAGGGGGTACCTGGCTGGTTGTGGCATGCGAACGTGCTGAGCGATTGCGAGCTGGGTGCCAACTTAGAACGTCGGATTCGAGCGCATGTTCGGCGACGGGATGCAGCGACTGTCTTCCTTTCCCCACACATCCAGGGAGTGAGTAAGGCCAGCGGGAACCGTTTCTGTCGTTGCAGAATTCGAAGATATGCAGAGCGTGTAGGACGCATTCGTTCAGATTGCTGGTGTCATAGCATTCCAGTGTTAGTCGGGATGCCTGAGGGCAGTCGACTGTGGGCGCCCTTAGTCCGCTCTCTCGTGAACGTACCTGCCTCTTTCGTTGTCAAGTTTTGCAGTGACAGGTGTAGGTTTGGCACGCCCTGGAAGCATCGTTGTAACTATATGTGCCTCGGGAAGGTGCCAGTAGATGTCGCAAGTCTGGCGCACACCTGTGGAAGCCGCAATGGAATCTGTGACAGGACTCAGCGCCCCCACATTCAACTTAGGGGGCGTGACCAATTAGGCCAGAGTCGTAGCCAAGCCAGTGTGAAACGACCTGCCCTTTTAAATTTTGCGCTCGCTCGGTCTCTGCTAAGCCTCCCGAGAGCCTCCATATACAACTGTAGCCCTGTGTAGGGGTTCGGGAGTCTCGGGTGTCAGCTCTCACTTCAGTGCTTTCTCTCGTGAGGGAGCTTCCCTCTGCCTTGAACTGTGGAGGAGCAGCCCGCTATCGCTGCAAGCGGGCTTGTTGAGGAGTCGTTCTTCGCCTAACAAACAGCATATCATGGGGGTGCGTGCACGGACATGGTTAAGCGGGGGGTGGAGTGTCGTCGTTTCGGCAGTTGTAGCAAGCAGCTTATCAATTCAGTTTCTGCTTCTCTCTGCTGCGTGCGTCCCTCTGCAGCCGTTCGAGGGTCCCCGCCCGCCCTAACCCTAGAAGTCTTGGGTGTCAGCTCTCACTTCAGTGCTTTCTCTCGTGAGGGAGCTTCCCTCTGCCTTGAACTGTGGAGGAGCAGCCCGCTATCGCTGCAAGCGGGCTTGTTGAGAATGATGATGATGATGCTGATGATGATGATGATGATGATGATGATGATGATGATGATGATGGTGGTGGTGGTGGTGGTGGTGGTGGTGGTGGTGGTGATGATGATGATGATGATGGTGGTGGTGGTGGTGGTGGTGGTGATGATGATGATGATGCTGATGATGATGATGATGAGGAGGAGGAGGAGGCGGAGGCGGAGGAGGATGAGGTGGCGGAGGTGGCGGAGGAGGAGGAGGAGGAGGAGAAGGAGGAGGAGGAGGAGGAGGACGATGACGACGACGACGTCGACGACGACGACGACGACGACGACGACGGAGCAGATTTTGAGGACGTCTCGGGCGAGGCGCTGGCTTCAGCACCCCAAGGGGGGCCAGGTGGTATTGCATGGACACGTTCGCGCCCAGATTGCGGGGATGCCTCGAGCGGTTTGCGTGTTTACATGCCCAACTGCCCCCGCTTTCGGAACAGATTTTGAAGTTGCCTCGGGCGCGGCGTTGGTTTTCGCACACCCAGAGGGGGGCGCCAGGGTGTATTGCACGGGCCCGTTCGCGCCCAGATTGCGGGGATGATTTGAGCGGTTTGCCTTTTTCGCACGCCCAGCAGTTTCTGTTGTCGGAGCAGATTTTGAGGATGTCTCTGGCGAGGCGCTGGTTTTCGGACCCCACGGGGCACAGCTTGATAGGATGACTCGAGCGGTTTGCTTGTTTTGGTGGCCAGCCTCGTCTGCGTTCAGGGCGGATTTGTTGGAGGATGCCTCGGGCGAGGCGCTGGTTTCGGCACCCCCAAGGCGGGGGGGGGGGCGCCGTGGAGTATCTCACTCTTCCGTTCGCGCCCAGATTGCGGGGATGCCTCGAACGGTTCGCTTGTTTTCCAACCCAACACACTCCTCGTTCGGAACAGAGGTTGAGGATGTCTCGGGCGAGGCGCTGGTTGTCGCACCCCAGGGGGGGACATATTGCGAGGATGTCTCGAGCGGCTTTCTTGTTTCAGTGGCCAGACTCGTCGGCGTTCAGGTCCAACCCTTGGTATTTTACGTATGTCCCTATATATTGCCCCTCTTCTGTGGCTCCATTCCTAAGCGTTTTACATATGTTCCTATATATATATATATATATATATATATATTGGGTCTCTCCTGGGGCGCGAATCTTCTTGTATGCTTTACGCATGTTGCTATAGATTGCCCGTTTCATGTGGCTCCAATCCCAAGTGTTCTACGTACTTTTCTAAAGATTGGGCTTCTCATGGGGCACGAATTCTTCCCAGGAGGCCCTAGGAGGCTCCAGGAGGTGTCATGAGGCTTCAGGAGCGCGAAGAGGCACGAAGAGGCACCAGGAGGACCCAGGAGGCACCAGGAGGTTCCCAGTCTGTTAGATCCACTCCCGGTCTGTCAATACTCAAGCCCGTTTATGTTCGAAGCCTCTTGCGCCTAGGCGCTCACGGCGAACAGGCCCATGCACATAGATGCACAGATGGGGAGCCCCACGCAGTGAACAATCCTGCTATGCAGCCTCTTGCACGAAAATGCTCGTGCTGGGGCGGGGAGTGATACTCTGTCGGGTGGAAAGGGGGACCACGCCGCCCCACCTCGGGTCTCTGTGGGCGGCCCCCCCCCCCTGCTCGGGGACCCCGCACCACCCGGGGAGTTTTACACGACGTCTGTAATTTCCTGCTCGCCTCTTGCCATTGTTGAAGCACAGACACTATTTGTTTGTATATATATATATATATATAGGATTGCCACAGTTGCAGTTGGCCCCAGTTTGCATTCGCGCCTGTCCCTCGATTCTTTGCTCTTTCCGCCGGCCTACTTTAACTCACTCAGGTGAGGGTGAGCTTCTGTGCGATACTGTAGCCTCAGGCCGACCTGCACCGACAGAGTCAGTCTAATATAGCCTTACATAGCAGATCACCAACAGCTGCAATCTCCAGCATCTTGGAGTTTCAAGCCAGCACCTTGCGTCAGCTACTGGCCTTCTCCCCAGCTTCACAGGCCAGCCTATCACCAGCTGCACTCAGATGTTCGTCTCTCCACTCCTTTCTGCCAGCTTTAACTTGCAGCTGTAAGTGCTGACGGATTGCAGTTCGATGCCACTTTGGTACGTCTGTAGGGGACGAGCCCCCATGGCCAATCACACTGTGGTCTACCGGTTACAGTATATTCCAATAGTAGATACAGTCGTAACTACTCAGTGCACCAATCTCTGATCAAGGCCAGCCAGCACAGACTTGGCCAGCCTAGCCCATCCAAGCAGCCAACACACCAAGTGTATACTGCGTCAGTCGCCTGCTCAATGTTTGACTTATTTTTCTTTCTGCTGACAGGACCAGTCACTGTGTACTTACGGGCGGCGGGAGGTCATGGGTCGTGGTTGACAGCTGCGGAGTTACTTGTGGAGGAGGAGGAGGAGATTCTAATTGGCCTAGCTCACCTGTGAGGCTGCGCCCACTGGGATCTGACATGAACACTTGGCAGGTCAGCTCATGCTACCACCTTAGTTAACTGTACACGCGTAGCTCGATCCCTCTTGTTCGGCTCCCCCCTGTACTTCGATTCGTTCGATCTCGTTCGTCTCTCTCTCTCTCTCTCTCTCTCTCTCTCTCTTTCTGTCTCCTTAACACGGGTCTCGCTGGCCTATACTCTGTGCCCTTCGGGGCCCACTGTCTTTTTCTTTTACTCTTGCGCTTGTTTTGATTTCTGCTTCGCCTGCCAGGTGTAAGTTCTTGGCCAATAGGCCTGAGTCGGTGGAGGAGGAGGAGGATGATGATGAGGAGGAAAAATGAGAAAACGAAAAAGAGGAGGAGGCGGGGTAAGAGGAGGGAGGAGAGAAGAGAAGGAGGCCAGACTCTTCCATCTCCTCCTTTGTCTTCTTCTCCTTCTCTTCCCCTCCTGCGACAAGGGCTTCCCCCCAGACACTGAGAGCACCATGCTACTTCCCAGAACCATCCGAGCTCTGCTGGTCCCTCCCTCATCCTCTTCCCCTCAGGAGGCCCTCTCCCTGCTGCTGCTCCTGGTCCTCCTCCTTGCTGGAGGCCCCCACCGGCGCCGTGGTCCCGGCCGTGGCCCTCGGGGCCGCCATGCCGAAAGCCCCTGGCGGCGGCGTTGCCAGCCCCTCACCGAAGGCCCGCAGCTCGACGACGACGACGACGACGACGACGACGACGACGACGACGACGACGACGACGACGACGACGACGCAGCCACCTCCGACAGGTGTCCTGGCCAGGCTCTCCCAGGGCCCAGGATCGGTCCTGGGCACAGGATCGGCCCCAGCTTCTGCAGGGGGGCCCCTCTGGCATCCAGAGTGCCCCTCACGATGGCCAGAGGGCCTGTGGCGCGAGAAGCTGGGGGGCACCTTACCCAGGGTCGCCTCTTAAACCTTCGATCCGCTGTCGGCGTCGTCGTCCGGGGGGGAGTCAGAGTCGGAGTCGGAGTCGGAGTCGGAGTCGGAGGAGGAGGAGGAGGAGGAGGAGGAGGAGGAGGAGGAGCAAAACAAACCCAAGATGTATCAACGATGCCGCAAGTCATCCTCCCGTCCCAAGTTCCCTTTACCAGTCCCTACAAGCCTCCCTGCCCACTGCGCGAAACGCCTCTTTGACAGACGAACATTCTATGGGTTGTCCATTCAGGCGATTGCCCCGCTTTGAAGAGGAATTGCCTTGCATGTTTCTAGTTAATCAGCAGGAACCTGACAAGGTAGGATCATACTTGTTAACGCTTTGCGTATCCCGACGAGCCCAGCCAGGAACGATGCCTGGGGGAGCTGAGGCTCTTTCTGGGAGCCTTGGAGGCCTTCTTCGGATCATCTTGGAGGAGATCGATCCACGAGGGGGGGTCTCAATTAGCGTCCCCCCCCCCCGCCCAAAGAGGCCAAAACTTGTCCAGCACCGAATGCAATCAATGCTTTTGCATTCTAGCTGATGC